TTATTTTTAATTATCTGCACATACAATGCGAATACTTTTAAAATGAACCATTTTATCTGATTTTATCTTCGCTATTCACATGTTTGTTAAAAAAGTAAAATAAATAAATAAATAAATCACCATGGCCCTAAATGACCACAGCCGTCGATGGGCCGTTAAACATAAACAAACAAACAAACAAACAAACAAACAAAGTGTACCGGTGTATATATATATACAAATGCATATGTAGATGTACGTGTGAATCGATCATGCACGCGTGTATTTGTGTGTATAAACAATTTATAAATACATATATAACTACTAACGTGTTCGCTTGCGAGTTTTAGTCATGCATGCTCATGTGCAATCATTCCATACTGACAGTGTTACAATGCATGTGTATTGCTGTATGTATGTATGCGTGCGTATGTGTGATATACAATTAAAATATGATACAATTTTGTATATATATATATTGTTTTTGGTGAAGTCATGTATTCCCTCCCCTCCCCCTGGGTTAGTATATGCTAATAACCATCTCCCGATTGACAGTGAATTTCAATTTCAGCCAGGTTATGTCTAGAGATCTTGCAGGTATGTGCGTACGATTTATATATGTTGTTATTGTATGATTGATATATATATACGCGTACGCATGCGTATTGTGTATGTATGTGTACATGTGCATTCGTGCGGGTGTATGTGTATGTATGTCTAATATGAGGATGTATGTGTTTTTGTATTTATAAATATATGGGTCAAAGAAGTAATATAGACGGTAAAATCCCATATAACACTGGATCCTAATGGAGGTATGTCCGTAGGATACGAATTACTTAAAATAGTATACGGGGCAAAGAAGTTTAGGTTGTCAAATTTTCGGAGCGATCCGCTCCTTTATCAAGACACAGTGAAACAGAACAGTCACATGTACATATGCATCATATTACAAGAAGATAGAACTGATATACTATAATTGAAAATATAGCTATTATATAAAACCAATATATAAATTTATATATTTATAAATATATATATATATATATGTATGTGTGTGCGGTTTTATTTGGTGTTTTTTTTTTTTGNCAACTTCAATCAAATTGTGTTCTATAATGTTTTTTCCCTATATCTTCTTTCCCAATATTGTAACACTTATTATATGCAGTGGAAACCATGAATGTAATAATAACTTTGTATTTTTTATTGCTCAAACTGAGTATTGTATTGGCTGGTCTTACATTGGCCCTACTCTTGTGATGATGATGTTCCCATTTGATATTTCCTAAATACATATAAATGCCAATAAGTCATAACATTTTTCTGTAAGAGTGGGACTTTGTTATGACATCGCACGCTCTGTTCAAACTCGATCTGTAAGTATAATGTATGATATGTTTGAAGTTTTCTTTATTGCGCTGTTTTGGAACCATCATGTTTTTTTGCCCATTGTCATATTCTTTTTTCTTGTTCGACAGTTAGGCGTATGTAAAACCTACAACGAACATACAACTTCATGTCGAAATCAAACGTTATTACTTAAAGCGTATTTCACGGCGATCATCGCTCAATTTATACTGTATGTTTCCATACTCATCGTCTTGTCATTACTATATGCTGTGGCGATATAGAAACTAACCCCCGCCCCTTTCATCCTGCTGCTAACTCCTCGTCAATCTCCTCTGACGAACCTGTATCTTTTACACATGATAATAATTGCTTATCATTCGTCCATCTGAACGTACAAAGTTTGCGTCCAAAACTAGATGTTCTGTACACCGAACTATATGAGCATAGTATTTTAACATTTACCGAAACTTGACTCTCTGATTCTGATATGAATTCGTCCATGGATATTTCTGGTTTTCACAGTCCTTTTTGTTACTGTCGTAATAACACCATTGGAGGGGGTGTTGCTGTTTATGTAGCAGACAATCTTTTTGTCAAAAGAAGGTCTGATATTGAAGTTGACGATGTCGAATGTGTATGAGTTGAAATAGCATCCGAAGGTCAAACATTTCTATATGGTACTAGTTATAGACACCCAAATTTTAACAACTGTATGGACCAAATTTGAGGAATCCATTGATAGGGCAATTTACTCTAGCATAGGAAATGTTATTATAACAGGCGATTTTAACGTAAATTTACTACAACGTAGTACTAATTTTAACTATTTTGATAACATAATGTACACTTACGGACTTACGCAATTAATTACTGAATGTACGCATTACACTGAACATTCGTCATCCTTACTAGACGTTATATTGGTAAATGACGATTTTATAATAGATCGGTCTTATGTAGGGGAATCGTTCCTTGACCAACCAGTAAGATACCATTGTCCCATCTATGCTACTCTTAATATTGCTCAACATTCAACCGACTCGTACCGAAGGAACATTTGGCTTTATAAGCATGGACAATTTTGATAAACTAAGAAAACTATAAGAAATGTCGGATTGGTCTCAAGTATATGATGCTAATATCGATCTAGCATGCAAGCGTCTAACTGACTTCATCGATTCCGCTTCTTCTTCGGCTATCCCTAATAGAACGGTCATTATAAGAAATTGTGATCGTCCATTGATGAATAAAAAAAACAGAATTTAATATCAAAACGTAAAAAAAGCACCATAAGGCTAAACTTACTGATAGCCAATCTGACTGGTCTATTTTAGACAAACCCGTAACAAGTGTAAATGCCATTAGACAATCTAAAGAATCTTATTTTAATGGTTTTTCATCAAAATTATCTGATTTAAGACAATGCAACGAGTCATGGTGGTTAACTGTAAAACTCTTCATGAACAATAGTGGTAACTGTGGAGAAATACCAACAATTTTTCAGGATAATGTCTATTACGAAACTGATGTTGATAACACTAATGTTTTTAATTTATATTTTTCAAGTCAATCCGCTGTGGATGATTCAATGGTTATGCTTCCTCCACTAATAGAATCCCCTAATCGTATTTGTCTGGGTAATATATATATAGCATGTACTGATGTTAACGATGCCTTAAAGCTGTAGGACCAGATCTTATTAGTCCCAGTCTTACATATGTGAAATGAAGAACTATCAGAGGTACTGTTTTTTCGAATAATTGCAGTTGGGTTGAAAATGTTAAACAAATAATTCAGAAAGCAACCTCTAGATTAAATATTATGCGATCTCTAAAATTTAAACTCGACAGGCAAACATTACAAAATATATATTTTTCGTGTATTAGACCACTTGTAGAATATGTAGATACTGTCTGGGATAGCATTCCCAAAGAATATATTTCTAAACTAGAGAATGTTAATTTGGAAGCTGCTAGGATTGTTTCAGGTGCTACTCAATTTGTAAGCTTAGACAAACTGTATACAGAAGTTGGAAGGAATAAATTAATAGAACGTAGACTCCATCATAAATTGTTGCAATTCAAAAAAATGTTTTATCAAAATACTCCAGAGTATCTGTATAATCTCTTACCTAGTTCAGTTAGTGATGTTCATAGTTATAATACCAGACTTTCTGACCCATCATCTCTTCCTTTACATATAAGAAATAACCCTTCCATTTCCCATTTAAAAGCCTTTCTGAAATCTAATAGTAAAGCATGTCCACCGTCATACTACTTTCAGGGTTCACGTCTGGGTCAAATCTACCACGCAAGACTGCGTATGTCATGAAGCTCCCTAAAAGCACACTTGTTTACGAAAAACATCATACTGTAACATCCCCGAAATGTTCCTGCGGTGCCATTGAGAATTCAAAACATTATTTGCTAAAATGTAATAAATATACAGCACTTAGACAGCTTCATATTCTGAGTTTGCCGTATCAACTATCTACTAATATTTTACTCTTTGGTGATGACTCTCTAACCCATCAAGAAAACATTTAAAATAAACGAACAGTCCTTTAACAATTTCATTTTGACATATATATATATGTATGTTGTGTTGCATTCGTTTTACTACTGTGTTTTAAAATGTATTTGGATGTATATGCTTATTCAGTGATTTTGCCATTGCATTTCTTTATACCATATTATGTCACTAACTGGCCATGATTATGATAGTTTGGTAAAGTGATGTGTGACCTTGAAAGAGCAGGACGTGCCAGGGACGAGGCGGGAAAGTGTTTTATGGACTTATATTTGATAAGTGTGAAGGCTAGTATGTGAACTGCAACGTTGTTTTAATAATCCTGGCGGTGCTTTGTGACATCCTAATTTTGTCAATAGTTGATTTAGTGGTGATTTATGCTATGTAATTTGTATATACATTTTAACCGTTATCGAGTGTCCATTTACAGCATTGCTGAAATTTTCATCTACTATTGCATAGTTATATTTTACAGAATCGTGTTCCACATACCCATTGCAATAGAGCAATGTGATATTACCATCTGATGATCATATGTATATTGATATGTTATCCATTCCTGGTTTCCACTGCATACCGATCCATTACCCCCTCCCCTATTCCCGTAATTGTTCTGTTGTACATATTACTTCATTCTTGTAGCTAGTGTTGAAAAGTTGATTATTAAGCAGGCAACAACTTTACATAAGTGTCACGAGACTTGTTTTTGTTTCCTTTTCTGTTCTATAAAACATGTACTTCGATGTATTGCCAAACAAAAGTTTAAACCAAACTTTAAAGGGAAACGCTTTGTTGTCGGTTAAATTTGTGTCGTTATTTAGTTTATAATTCTGATTTAAGGACTGCTGCCACTCAAGTTTTAATCATTACGACTGCTATGTGTGTTGTAAGAAATGCTAAGCTTAGTAGAAAATCTGTTTTCATCTTGATTTATGAAAGAACCGCTTAGCTTTGTAGAGAATCTGTTTACGCCTCCTTGTATTAATCTTCATAGCATTACCTCTTCAGACAGTATTATCACGTATCTGTAATCGCCTTTCTACGTTATGTCACATATGCTTACTTTTCCAAACGAGTTATCTTGTATGTGAAATATACCAACACCATTTAATAAATGCAATGCTTTTTATCTCTATTTTAAGAGGAACTCCTGGGAAGGAAGAGGCGGGTTAGTTTGGCGTCTGCCGTCAGATTACGTTACGCCGCCATTGCAGTGTCCTGGTTATCTGTGATTTTTGCCCTGGTACAGGGCTCTCTAGCATTAGGTAAGGCGGTATCTATGTTGTGTGTATGAGGGCATTGGTGGATGTTTACAGTCTGCACTTATAAGATACTAATAGTAATAATATATTTTATTCAAGTGTCACATATTCATCTTTATATAAAAACAAGTAAAATGTACATTAAAACTAAATCAATATCCAGCCAAAGTTAATTGACCTATGGAACACTAAAAGGCAACAATATCCATTAAAATAAGTGTTAACAAAAACAAGACCATATTTGTCAGCTTATTATAGCCTATTATAAGTTATTACAACACATCAATAAAAGTCATTACATATACCTGTATCACTAACTTCAGCGAGAAAACCGCTATAGCACTTTATCAAATGTTATATATTTACTGGTAAAATATCACGTAATCGGAGAGTACTTCAAATCACAAATGTTTATAACTTACCTTACTATATGTATGGTTTTCTACGCTTAAACGCGTCAAAGATAGAATGATCTATATATTTAGCTGGAGTTCACCGTTTCAAATTATATAAAAAGAACTGTGTGTCACGGTCCTGCATTCAGATCCCAATTATAACCTAACATGCTTGATTTAGTCAATTGTATCTTAAATCATTGTAGAGTTTGCACTCAAGTGTCTCATATAGGCTCACGAAATAGCAATTCATCACTTTCCATCTGCCTTGTTGGGAAAAAAAACTGTTTTGCTATATGTTGTAGTTTCATATAAAATGTAGCTTAGATACCGTGATACAATGTGTTAATTTCAGTGAACACCAGTAGTTGCTAAGTGTGTGTATTATAACTTGACTCTGATTATCTCGCCTCCTTTACAGTACTTTCTTTAACACGAAACAGTTCCACTTTATTCGGATTCGGGGTAAGTTGTTTTATGTTTCTTTCAAGTGTCCAGGTTTGAAATGCGTTGGTATTGTATCCATATATAAGGATTGTGAGGCCATTTGCAGGTTGCACGAACACAATGTTCACCTAGAACGGTTTTGAGTCAGCCATGCTTTATCTATCTTCAGCATGTATAAAACAATGTCTGATTTCATGTCCAACTCCGTGTATTTCTAAAGTTGTTTTTAATGTTTGGTACGTATGTACATGTATAACATGTTCATTGGTAGAGCGAAATCTATAAAGCCACACTATTTGATAAAAAAGTAGAGTAATTTCCTTATATGGTCATTGCTCCTTAATGTTCGTTAATGGATCATACTAATCCGACATAAACCAATATTTCGCATATCGTTTGTATAAAAATATATCTGGTTAAACCTAAGGTTATGTTCATAATATGAATTACTTGTCTATAGTAGTTGTGAACTTATCTCCCTTACTTATCTGATAGCTGGCCGCTCTCCTCGACAGCGCTTCCTCGATAGTTGTACTATGGAGATTTCATAGCAAAGATTTATACTCGGAAGCCGCGGAATCAAGGTAAGAAAAGCAACTTCATTATTACTAAGTCTATGATTTAATACACTTTAATTTGAGCTCCAATAACCGTAGACACAATCCTATGTAACAATGAGTGTATCAGTTGATACATCTTGAAAAGGATACGCGGCGAGTAGTCAGTTATTTTTATGTCAACATTTAGGTAATAATTTCTCTGTGGATTTTTTTCAAATTTGATAGTTATATTGCTTTGAAGTAAAGGAACTTTTCTGCCAGAAAAGAAATATAGGTTGTCAGAATTTTAAGGATTTTAAATGGTAATTTAGGTAAAAAGGAGTGAATTTTGAAAAAAAAATGAAAGACACAATTGTTTGCAAAATAATATCAATAAAAATGATACTGACAGAGATTAGTATTGCATTAATGTATATCAATTTAATAAATGCTGCAATTGTGTAAACTTAATTAGCATTAAACGATTAAAAATTGGCATTTTATAATAAAACCATTTACACATAGTAATTGCATGTAAGAGTTATCTTTCTTGATAAACTTCACAGTAGGTAGCCGGTAAATAGGTAGCCGGTTTCCTGAAGTACAGAAAAATGAACACATGTGACTCATTGATAAAAAAACAACTGAATTAATGCCTGGATTGCTATGAAATACTTTAATATTGAGAGAACACACTGTTCTGTCAATAATAAACATGCAATATCCATCACAGCTCTAGACTCATTAGAATATGCGGAAATTGTGATACTGTCCCCCTACATTGGATTTTCAACTACGGATGTACTTCCTATTTCCGTTTATCAATACACTCCTATGACCTTAAGTGTATCTGGTCAAGGAAATATTTTCTTATTCATCTTCAATACATCCTGTAAAACAATGATTCTTATTTTACATATTATAGCTTTCACTACTCAGATGCATTCTGTTTCGATTTCATATATTATTAATGATACCCTGTTGCATGTAGTTACATTGTAACCGTTACATGAGTTTAAAAAAACAATAATAGGCTAATTTCGATGAATTCGTTTTCTTTCAGGGCCTGCCTTATAATAGGATTTTTCTTTTTATTGTCGTCATTTTTTCTGTCAGGAAAAACTGTATACGACTTAGTGATGCAAATTAAAGAAGTAAAGGTAGGTCAAATTGGATTGTTTATTATCTACAGCTTTTAACCATAACATTGATAGTGGCCAATTGAATAAAAATGTCATGAAATGCTTACTAAGGATCTCCTACCTCTGCCAAAATCTGTCACTGTGCATTGGAAATATATTTTTCCACATGACTATAACTTTGATAAATTATTAATAAATGAAAACCATAATTGCGAGATTTTTATGAAAAAACCCCGAAAACAGATGAAATGGACAAAAGATCATCAGCAATAGTGTTCTAAGTGTAAACGATAAGTACGGTTTTCAATAAAAGTAGAAAAGTAAAAGTAGATTACATTAAGTATTTACGTTAATATATATTAGGTCTATCATTCGTTTTTATTTGAACTAGCATAACATATACCACCTTTATGTATAATGGATAACAAAACTTATTCCTAAATCCTCATCAATTGGATCATAATCACGTGGAGGTCAATGATTTCAGCTATTGACTCGGTGTTTCTACTGTTTTTAGAAACATCAGATTAATATTATCTTTATGACGTCACTTCAACTGAAGAGTCACAATACTCTCTGCGAAATGCAGTGTTTTCATCTTGACGATTTGGCAAAAAGTCAATATGTTTTCATATCTAATATAACAATTAAGGACTTTAATTTCAGTGAATATGTGATGACACGGACATGAAAATGTGATTTTCACTTCGTTCGTTCAAGAGCGCTTTCTCAGAATCAAATAACCACATATTCACTTCAACAAGTATCCATAATTGATCAATACTCTCTGGCCACTAAGACAATCATTTATTAAGGAACTGTAGTAAACCTTAATTATCAATTTCTTAAGCTATCAATAAGTTGTTCTAGGACTATCATTAAAATATAATTACAATGTGAAGATTGTCGTTTAGTTATAGAAGGACTGTTATTACCTATGATTTGAATGTTGTTTAATTATTTGAGTATTGCACTTTCGATTCAATTTGAATGGTGTTTAATCATTTTAGTACTGCACTTTCGGTTCAATTAAACTGTCATTTATGTACATCCGGTTGTTTATTTCAGTCTGCAACAGTATGGACGTTGTCGTTGGTGAACGGCTTAATAAATGTGGTGCTTGGTACTTCCAAAATATGTATAGGATACAAAATTGAAAGTATGGCACTCCTCACCGATAGTAAGTATTCACATGTATGATCTTCCCACGTGATAAAATAGAAAGTATGGTACTCCTCACTGATAGTAAGTAATCACCAGTCTGATCTTCCCACGTGATAAAATAGAAAGTATGGCATTTCTCACTGATAGTAAGTATTCACCTGTATGCTCTTCCCACGTGATAAAATAGAGAGTATGGCATTTCTCACCGATAGTAAGTATTCACCTGTATGATCTTCCCACGTGATAAAATAGAAAGTATGGCATTTCTCATTAATAGTAGGTATTCACCTGTATGATCTCCCCATGTGATAAAATAGAAAGTATGGCATTTCTCACTGATAGTAAGTATTCACCTGTATGAACTTCCCAGGTGATAAAATAGAAAGTATGGCATTTCTCACTGATAATTAGTATTCACCTGTATGATCTTCCCACGTGATAAAATAGAAAGTATGGCATTTCTCACTGATAGTAAGTATTCACCTGTATGATCTTCCCACGTTTTGTAAAAAAAGAAAAAAAGACACTTCTCACTGATAGTAAGTATTCACCTGTATGATCTTCCCACGTGATAAAATAGAAAGTATGGCATTTCTTACAAATAGTAAGTAATCACCTGTATGATCTTCCCACGTGATGAAATAGAAAGTGTGGCATTTCTCGCCGATAGTAAGTATTCACCTGTATGATCTTCCCACATGATCAAATAGAAAGTATGGCATTTCTCACTGATAGTAAGTAATCACCTGTATGATCTTCCCACGTTTTAAAAAAAAGAAAAAAAGACACTACTCACTGATAGTAAGTATTCACCTGTATGATCTTCCCCTGTATGATCTCCCCATGTGATAAAATAGAAAGTATGGCATTTCTCACCGATAGTAAGTATTCACCTGTATGATCTTCCCCTGTATGATCTCCCCATGTGATAAAATAGAAAGTATGGCATTTCTCACCGATAGTAAGTATTCACCTGTATGATCTTCACACGTTATAAAATAGAAAGTAGGGCATTTCTCACTGATAGTAAGTAATTACCTGTATGATCTTCCCACGTTTTAAAAAAAAGAAAAAAAGACACTACTCACTGATAGTAAGTATTCACATGTATGATCTTCCCACGTGATAAAATAGAAAGTAGGGCATTTCTTACTGATAGTAAGTAATCACCTGTATGATCTTCCCACGTTTTAAAAAAAAGAAAAAAAGACACTACTCACTGATAGTAAGTATTCACATGTATGATCTTCCCACGTGATAAAATAGAAAGTATGGCATTTCTCACCGATAGTAAGTATTCACCTGTATGATCTTCACACGTTATAAAATAGAAAGTAGGGCATTTCTCACTGATAGTAAGTAATTACCTGTATGATCTTCCCACGTTTTAAAAAAAAGAAAAAAAGACACTACTCACTGATAGTAAGTATTCACCTGTATGATCTTACCACGTGATAAAATAGAAAGTATGGCATTTCTCACCGATAGTAAGTATTCACCTGTATGATCTTCACACGTTATAAAATAGAAAGTAGGGCATTTCTCACTGATAGTAAGTAATCACCTGTATGATCTTCCCCCGTTTTAAAAAAAAGAAAAAAAGACACTACTCACTGATAGTAAGTATTCACATGTATGATCTTCCCACGTAATAAAATAGAAAGTAGGGCATTTCTCACTGATAGTAAGTAATTACCTGTATGATCTTCCCACGTTTTAAAAAAGAAAAAAAGACACTACTCACTGATAGTAAGTATTCACATGTATGATCTTCCCACGTAATAAAATAGAAAGTAGGGCATTTCTCACTGATAGTAAGTAATCACCTGCATGATCTTCCCACGTTTTAAAAAAAAGAAAAAAAGACACTACTCACTGATAGTACGTATTCACATGTATGATCTTCCCACGTGATAAAATAGAAAGTATGGCATTTCTCACCGATAGTAAGTATTCACCTGTATGATCTTCACACGTTATAAAATAGAAAGTAGGGCATTTCTCACTGATAGTAAGTAATTACCTGTATGATCTTCCCACGTTTTAAAAAAAAGAAAAAAAGACACTACTCACTGATAGTACGTATTCACCTGTATGATCTTCCCACGTGATAAAATAGAAAGTAGGGCATTTCTCACTGATAGTAAGTAATCACCTGTATGATCTTCACACGTTATAAAAAAAGAAAAAAATGACACTTCTCACTGATAGTGAATATTCACCTGTATGACATTCACACGTGAAAGTGTGGCACTTAGTAAATATTCAGCTGTATGACATTCATACGTGAAAGTGTGGCACTTAGTAAATATTCAGCTGTATGATTTTCACTGGTGGTAGTCAATATTATTCAACACAAATCGACACGCTAAGACAGCTTGGAAAAATGAAAATCGGTCAGTGTGCTTACATGTGCTTACATACAACGGGTATTGACCAGTAGGTATTGGTCAGGTCATAACGCTCAGGAAGTTGTCATTTACCCGTAAGATTTCAGCCTAAGATGGTGCAATTATTATCATCGTCATCATGACACTATTCCGAACTATAAGGGTCTACTTTGATTAGATACGAGGTAATTTGCTCTTATATCTCTGATACACTTTACTGTTCTTGATAGGATATAGCTTGATTAATGCCACATTCGACGTAGGACCTTTCTTTAAATCATACCTGCAGGTGATAACTTAAAAAATATACCTGTTCTTATCCACTGTATGTTGTAAGAGTCCACTAATGCGGAACCCCCCGCAGGACCCCCCGCAGGACCCCCCGCAGGACCCCCCGGAGTGACGGGAAGATTACTTTGGGACAAAACACCGACCAAAATAAAACTGCTGAACCCGTTCCAACATTTGGGATCCTATCGCTTTTTACCTTCTCCCTACAAACCTTTTATGTTTCCGCCTGTCTTAGCAGTACCTCACTTCTTCCTTCTTCCTACAAACCTTTTATGTTTCCGCCTGTCTTAGCAGTACCTCTCTTCTACCTTCTTCCTACAAACCTTTTATGTTTCCGCCTGTCTTAGCAGTTCCTCACTTCTACCTTCTCCCTACAAACCTGTTATGTTTCCGTTTTTCTTAGCAGTACCTCACTTCTATCTTCTCCCTACAAACCTGTTACGTTTCCGCCTGTCTTAGCAGTACCTCACTTCTACCTTCTTCCTACAAACCTTTTATGTTTCCGCCTGTCTTAGCAGTACCTCACTTCTACCTTCTTCCTACAAACCTTTTGTATTTCCGCCTGTCTTAGCAGTACCTCACTTATACCTTCTCCCTACAAACCTGTTATGTGTCCGCCTGTCTTAGCAGTACCTCACTTCTACCTTCTTCCTAAAAACCTGTTTTATTTCCGCCTGTCTTAGCAGTACCCACTTCTACCTTCTCCCTACAAACCTGTTATGTTTCCGCCTGTCTTAGCAGTACCTCACTTATACCTTCTTCCTACAAACCTTTTATGTTTCTGCCTGTCTTAGCAGTACATCACTTCTACCTTCTTCCTACAAACCTTTTATGTTTCCGCTTGTCTTAGCAGCACCTCACTTCTACCTTCTTCCTACAAACCTTTTTTATGTTTCCACCTGTCTTAGCAGTACCTCACTTCTACCTATGTATCCGTCTGTCTTAGCAGTACCTCATTTCTACCTTCTTCCAACAAACCTTTTATGTTTCCGCCTGTCTTAGCAGTACCTCACTTCTTCCTTCTCCCTACAAACCTTTTATGTTTCCCCCTGTCTTAGCAGTACCTCACTTATACCTTCTTTCTACAAACTTTTATGTTTCCGCCTGTCTTAGCAGTACCTCACTTATACCTTCTTTCTACAAACTTTTATGTTTCCGCCTGTCTTAGCAGTACCTCATTTATACCTTCTTCTTACAAACCCTTTATGTTTCCGCCTGTCTTAGCAGTTCCTCACTTCTACCTTCTCCCTACAAACCTTTTATGTCCGTCTGTCTTAGCAGTCCCCCATTTCTACCTTCTCCCTACAAACCTTTTTTGTTTCCGCCTGTCTTAGCAGTACCTCTCTTCTACCTTCTCCCTACAAACCTTTTAGGTTCCCGCCTGTCTTAGCAGTACCGCACTTCTACATTCTTCCTACAAACTTTTAATGTTTTTGCCTGTCTTAGCATTACCTCACTTCTACCTTCTTCCTACAAACCTTTTATGTGTCCGCCTGTCTTGGCAGTACCTCACTTCTGCCTTCTTCCTACAAACCTGTTATGTTTCCGCCTGTCTTAGCAGTACCTCACTTATACCTTCTTCCTACGAACCCTTTATGTTTCCGCCTGTCTTAGCAGTACCTCACTTCTACCTTCTTCCTACAAACCTTTTATGTTTCCGCCTGTCTTAGCAGTACCTCACTTCTACCTTCTCCTTAAAAACCTTTTTATGTTTCCGCCTGATTTAGCAGTACCTCACTTCTACTTTCTTCCTGCAAACCTTTTATGTTTCCGCCTGTCTTAGAAGTACCTCACTTCTACCTTCTTCCTACAAACCTTTTATGTTTCCGCCTGTCTTAGCAGTACCTCACTTCTACCTTCTCCCTACAAACCTGTTATGTTTCCGCCTGTCTTAGCAGTACATCACTTCTACCTTCTCCCTACAAACCCTTTGTGTCCGCCTGTCTTAGCAGTACCTCACTTCTACCTTCTTCCTACAAACCTTTTATGTTTCCGTCTGTCTTAGCAGTACCCCATTTCTACCTTCTCCCTACAAACCTTTTATGTGTCCGCCTGTCTTAGCAGTACCTCACTTCTACCTTCTCTCTACAAACCTGTTATGTTTCTGCCTGTCTTATCAGTACCTCACTTCTATCTTCTCCCTACAAACCTGTTATGTACTCGCCTGTCTTAGCAGTACCGCACTTCTACATTCTTCCTACAAACCTTTTATGTGTCCGCCTGTCTTAGCAGTACCTCACTTCTGCCTATGTTTCCGCCTGTCTTTGCAGTACCTCACTTCTACCCTCTTCCTACAAACATTTTATGTTTCCGTCTGTCTTAGCAGTACCCCATTTCTACTTCTCCCTACAAACC